ATGATATAATATAAATATAATAATAATAATAATAATTATTATTATTATTATTATTATTATTATTATTAGTAGTAGTAGTAGTAGTAGTAGTAGTAGTAGTAGTAGTAGTAGTAGTAGTAGTAGTACTGTTACTATTACTATTACTATTAACCACATGCCATTAGGGAAGATGAAAAAAAAGGGAAAAATGCTGTGCTCATTTTTTATATTTTTGTGAAATATCTTTGCACATAGATGGCTCTGCTAGTGCTTAGCCACAAAGGATTCAGTTAAAAAAATATATTTTTTACTAGTGCTATGAATATTGATGGTATTATTTTTGTCATAAACATTATAATTACTATAATGTTAAAAACATTATTAACTGCAAAATAAGATCACGTAAAATAATTTTGTAAAAGGGTAAACGGGTGAGAGATGTAGTACTTATAATTGGCTCATTAGTGACTTAATACAAGTGTAGCCATCTATGTGTGAAAACAATTAATAAAGTAAATTCACAGTGGTTATGACATGTACATATATGTCATGCCCTTTGGCATTGGGTTAATATTATTGTTGTTGTTGTTATTGTTATTGTTATTGTTGTTATTATTGTTATTATTATTATTATTATTATTATTATTATTATTATTATTATTATTATTATTATTATTATTATTATTATTATTATTATTATTATTATTGTCATTATTATTATTATTATTATTATTATTATTATTATTATTATTATCATTATTATTATTGTTCTTAAAAGATAGTGATAATTTTAATTGTTATTGTAATGGTTATAGTTGTTATTATTATAGTTCTTATGATTTTTATTTTATTATGAAAATTAGAGTTACTTTTATTATAGCACTATTAGTGTAGTCATTGTTGTAATGTTTATTATTGTTAAAGTCATTATTATTATATTTATTATTATTTTTGTTATTATTGTTTTTTGTTTGTTGTTGTTTTGTTATTGTTATTGTAATTATAATCATTATTTTTAATATTATTATTATTATTATTATTATTATTATTATTATTATTATTGTCATTATTATTATGATAATTGTTATTGTTATGATTATTATTATCATTGTTATTATTATCATTATTATTCTTTTCATTATTATAATTTCATTATTATCATCATTATTATTATTATTATTTTATTTTGTTTTATTTTATTAGTAGAAGTATCTGTCTTGTTATTGATATAGTTATTATTATTAATGTTATTACTGTATTTTCTTTTATTAATGTTTTTATTACTGCTATTATTATTGCTATTATTGCTATTGTCATTATAATTATTATTATCATTATCATTATCATTATCATTATCATTATTATTATTATTATTATTATTATTATTATTATTATTATTATTATTATTATTATTATTATTATTATTACTATTACTATTACTATTACTATTACTATTACTATACTATTTAATATTACTATTATTATTATTATTATTATATATTATTATTATTAATATATTATAATTATTAATTATAATTATTAATTATAATTATCTATTATAATATACTTATAATTATAATAATAATAATAATAATACTAATTATTATTATTATTATTATTAATTATAATTATAATTTATAATTATAATTATAATTATAATATAATTATACTTATAATTCTATTATATTATAATTATAATTATAATTATAATTATAATTATAATTATAATTGTTATTGTTATTGTTATTGTTATCATTATTATTTTCATCTTTTTTTCGTATTATTCCACTTATTCATATTGTTATATCTATTATTCTTATACACAATATTCTTATTTTCATTATTATCTTTAGTCTTATTATTGTTATTGTTATTATTATTATTATTATTATTATTATTATTATTATTATTATTATTATTATTATTATTATTATTATTATTATTATTATTATTATTATTATTATTGTTATTATTATTATTATTACTTTATTTATTTATTTATTTATTTTTTATTTTTTTTGTCCACAATATTATTATTGTTATTATTATTATTATTATTATTATTATTATTATTATTATTATTATCATTATCATTATCATTATCATTATCATTATCATTATCATTATCATTATCATTATCATTATCATTATCATTATCATTATCATTATCATTATTATTATTATTATTATTATTATTATTATTATTATTATTATTATTATTATTATCATTATTAATATTAATTAATTGATTAATTAATTTGTTTATATATTTTATTTTTTTGTCCACAATATTATTGTTAATATTATCATTGTTGTAGTTATTATTACTGTTGCTATTGTTGTTGATATTGGATAAGTATGTCTAATCCCTTACTTTACTTTTATTTGAATCAGGAGAGACCTAAATATCTTTCATTCTATCAAAAAAAGCCTCGTAAAGTTGCGGTTGTGAATTTAGCAATTTCTATGTTTTTGTGTGGATATTCATCGTCTCATGCTGAGGTCATGGGGGGGTGTAGAAAGCATAATGAATACTTGTAAGGAGTTTATAGTCAGTTTATCCTATTAGATATGAATCTGTGTTGGCCTTTTTGTGACCGGCTGTTTGTGTGGCTCCGTAGCTCAGTGGCCAGACTTTTGATGGTTTTATTTTTTTTCCCTTTTCAGTATATTGGCTGCCTGAAAGTCAACACGTCCATGAAGAGTTTGAATTTTGATACCAGGTCTTTAATAGCAAAGTAAGTAACTGTGCTTCTGTGATATTCTTTAATGATCTAAAATTTAATGGCCTGAAATATTGTTGTGGTTCAGCAGAATTCTGATTTTATCCAGTGCTTGTATTTGTGCATTATATAACTATTTACAGTTGTTATTGTTATATTTTATTCTGTTATTATTGTTATTGTTATTATTATTATTGTTCTACTTCTTCTTCTTCTTCTTCTTCTTCTTCTTATTATTATTATCATTATCATTATTATCATTATTATTATTTTTATTGTTATTATTATTATTATTATTGTTATTATTATTAATAGTAGTAGTAATAATGTTAAAAAATAATAATGATGATACTGCTACTACTACTACTACTACTACTACTACTATTATTATTATTATTAATGATAAAAATATTGTTATTATTATTATTGATATTAATATTATTATTGTTATTGTTGTTATTATTGATTATAATAATCATAATCATAATAATGATAATAGTAATATTATTATTACTAGTAGTAGTAGTAGTAGTAGTAGTAGTAGTAGTAGTAGTAGTAGTAGTAGTAGTAGTAGTAGTAGTAGTAGTAGTAGTAGTAGTAGTAGTAGTAATAATAGTAGTAGTACTAATAGTAGTAGTAGTAGTAGTAGTAGTAGTATTGTTATTATTAATCAGTACTCTTGTTGATATTTTTGTTACTATTACCACAATACTCACCTGTGTATTCCCCACAGAGAATGCATCAGCAGAGTGTGTGAGGCGGCAGGCCTGAAGACGGCTGACAGGAAAAGGAAGGTAGTGAAGACCATAGGCAGGATCCTGGGTGAGAGACCCATGATGGAGCACGCTGGAAGTAATGTTAACTTGACTATCACAAGCACAGCACTCACTCTCTCCATCTTGGAGTCTGGGCAGGTAGTGGCATGTCATGATATGCCCAATATATCCTTCGCTTCAGGGGGAGATCCGGTAAGATATCAATATAGGTTCTGCTGTTTTTTTCCTTTTTTCTTTTGCTATTTCTTAAATGCATTGAAAAAAAATTACTTTATTATTACTGTATTTGTTTGTAGGTTTGTTTTTTGTGGTATTGGCTGAAAATTTGTTATTTAGTTTGGAATATCATGATGATAATAAGTATGGTATGGCAATCAAATGAAACCAGGTCTATAGGTAAAAAGAGCTGAAGTTTTATCATTCTTTTGCAGGATACTTTAGACTTTATTGCCTATGTAGCCAAAGACAGTCGTTATGGACGTGCGTGTTTTGTGTTGGAGTGTGGTGGAGGTCTGGCACAGGATGTAATAACAACAATCGGCCAGGCTTTTGAACTCAGGTTTAAGGAGTACCTCAAGAGAACCCCGTCCGTCCAGTATACCAGCGTAAAATCTGATAAGTAAGTTTCCAAAAAAGGGATATTGTCACATAACCCTCCCTCACTTTTTTATTAGAAAAGTCTAAGCTGAGTACTAGATGGCATTTCTGTTGTTAAACTTACTGATTTATTAGTTGTGAACCATGATTTTTTTTTTCATTAAGCACTGTAAAGTGTTCTGCTATTTTCTGTTAAGAATTGCTGTCTGTGATATTTGTTTCATATTCTTTGAGCCTTTGCACCTACCATGTGAGATCTCCATTATAACCTGATTCTTCCATTGAGATACAGGGTCTCACATAAATTCTTTGATGTTGCAGGTCAGGTATGAATGGCGAGGGTGCTGGTTGGGGTCGTGATGACCCGGAATACTATAATGACCTCCCTGGAAAGGTGCCTCCAGACCTTCCCCCACCTCCAGTTCCTCCTCTCCCTCAATACTCAGCCTCTGATAGTAAGAGACCTGCCATGGTTACATCAGTGCAGGTCCCTGCAACGTCATCAAGCAGTGGGTCAACGAGCTCTGTGTCTCCAGTCCCTTCTTCGGGAGCCTCAACTATACTCCTCAACTCACACCAGCCACTCACAGGAAAAGGTCAGTTGTTTATTAACTTGTAGTGACACAGTGTTCAGTTTTTGTCACATGCTTTCTTGGTTAGTATATTCATTGGAATATGAATTAATTCTTATGCATACTGTGTAGTTAAGATCTTTAGCACAAAGAAATAAAATATCCTCTTCTCTTTTTTAGATTGGATCTTTTTATGTAATTGCTGTTAAGATACAAATAGACTCATAGTTTGGTACTTTAAGTGTTGTAAGATAGGAAAATTACAAAGGATATAGCTAAATGGCCAAAGGCAACTTACGACACAGTAAAAAAAGAAAGGCTTTGTGACAAAATATAAATACAATGTTGCATACACAAAGACAGAGCATCTCTTATCAGTAGAGCTTTATCTAGATTCTGGTATTAGGTGAAGGTACACAGAAATGAATAGTCCATTTGAATCTGAATTCCTTAATTTTGCATTTTATGTGAAGTACAATAAGATGAGACTTGACACTACATTGGATTCAGTAGATATACAAATTTGTTTTACAAGTAAGTCACCCCTTAGGTTTACAAGCACATTATGTTTGAAGGTATGTACATCCAAAGTGGGTCACAGACCATTTGCCTGGCAATATGCTTATTAAATGTTTTATACCTTCATCTATAACATGAGCATCTATATATTCACACTAATGCACTCCGTTTCATAATTGTAGTGAATTAACTGGAAATATCAATATTTCTGTTACAGATGAAAGTTTAAGTTAACAATATATTTGGTAAACAAAATTGGTTTGAGACCTCCTTTGGACAAGCATACCCTCATTTCATGGATACAGTTTTTTATAATAGGTACAGCTAAGATTATACATATACATGAATTACAGTCTGATGCACATATAACTTGCCAATATGATTCTCTCTCATTCTCTCTCATTCTCTCTCACTCTCTCTCGCTCTCTTTCTCTCTTGCTCACTCTCTCATTCTCTCTCTCATTCTCTCAGTTGTGGATTTGCTCACTCACACATTTAGCCACTTCTTATAACATGAAGTAACAAGAGGTTATCATTTACAGTGTCTGACAACTTGATAGATTTTACCTCGGAAGGAGCCCAGCCTCCCCCTATGCGGTGTGAGCCAGAATACGTCAACGATGCTGTTATTAAGCAGAAGCAACTTCTTGACCAAAGAGATCCATTTGACATGCGTAAGTAATAAATGGAACAGAGTTTGAACTACTGTGCGTGTTGCAATAATTTAAAATGAATATTCTTTGTAAAGTATATTTTCTGTTTCATTTTCTTTGTTTGTTGATCATATGAGATTGTTTGAAATGATGTTTGTGTTTCATGTAAAGAGTTTGCTTACGCACTTGTCAGTTTATGATTGAATTAATATTTTGACTTTTACATATATATGATTAACCCATTCACGATGGGGAAATGCTGTGATCATTTTTTATATTTTTTGTGAAATGTCTCTGCACATAGATGGCTCTGCCATACCTGATTTCACCTTTCCTTGAATTGGCGGGAAAATGTAGTTTATACTAGTGCTATGAATATTGATGATGTTATTTTTATTATAAACATTATAATTACTATAATGTTAACATAAAATATTTTTGTAAATTAAAGAAAAGGGTAAACGGGTGAGACAGGCAGAACTCGTAATTGGCTCATTAGTGATTTAGTACAAGTGTAACCATCTATGTGTAAAAACAATTAAACAAGTAAACTCACAGTGGGCATGTCACAGATATGTGACATGCCTGTCACAAATGGGTTAAGAATATACTGTATATTTCTGTCTTTATTTATTTATATACTTGTCATTTGAATTAAGATGATTAGTCAAAGACTGTATGTTGCCTTCACAGAGCCCTTCATCACCCAGTTATCACAACTAAGTGGAGGTGTTAGTGGTGGCAGTGCAGCTGGAGCCATTGGTGGAGCAGGAGCTGTAGCTTCAGGAACTGTACCCAGCTCTGGGGCTGTTGGAGGGAATACAAAACCTCTCCCACTGAACCAGCGATTACAGCTACAGAGGGAGCCTTGGTTCCATGGTGCTATTAGTAGGAAGGAGGCAGAGATGCTGTTGGTGCAGGTACTGTATATAAATTATTTTCTTGAAGATACAGTGTTTTTTATGCCCAATTTTAAAGGTTGTCCACAGCTTGGCATTTCTGTGTTGCATAATGATTACCTTGAATTTTGTTAGTTAAGTAATCTGAAACCATTTTATGAAGTAACAGCAACCAATTTTTGTCATGCAGGATGGTGATTTTCTGGTGCGTGAATCCCAGGGAACTGCGGGCCAATATGTTTTAACTGGAATGCAAAACAATACAAAGAAGCACCTCTTGTTAGTTGATCCCGAAGGAGTGGTAAGTAGTGTCTCCTGTTTCAGCAGTTTGTATTCTAAAGCGCTGTTAATAGATCTAGTGGAAGAAACACTTCAGATTTACTGATTTTGAAGCATTTTGTATTTCCTTTGTATATGTTGATATTGCTTAAAAATAATCCTAAATATTTTTTTCTATTCATGAAAAGACATTCAAAGATAATGTTTATATATTTTTATATAGTATGAGCCTAATCTGATCTACTATAGCTTTTATTTCTGGTTTTGCCTGTGTGACAATCCTATAGTTGCAATTTTTTTGCTGTAAAGTAAAGGAAGAGATAAAACATATAAATTGAAGAAAAGTAAGATGAAATAAGAATGTGATTCCTGATATATCAAAATTCTTTGATATTGATGTATGTAAGAATCTCGTCCATTGGGCAGTCTTTCCTCATTTAAAAGGATAGCCATGTAATTTCAGGGAATAGAATATAACTTTCCCTATGTTCTTCAGACTGTTT